TATCCGAAAAGCTGTGGAAACAGCAGTGATATCTGCTAGTAAGGTAAACCAGAAGGTTAGGGAGCAACACTGGATCTCAGCAGCATCTATCTCACTAATAAATGCTCGGAAACACATTCCGCCTGGCTCTGAACATAATGAAGAGCGGAGTCAGCTTAAGCGCAAGCTGACAAGAAGTCTACGCAATGATCGTCAACAGTGGTGGGTAGCGAAAGCAAGAGAGATGGAAAAGGCAGCGGCAATAGGTAATAGCAGACAACTGTTTAGACTCGTTAAGGAAACCGGAATTAGGAACCCGACCGTTAGCGAAACAATCTCAGAGAAAGATGGACATATTATTCATTCTCAATCTAGGAGATTGGATCGATGGGCAGAACACTTTAGGGATCAGTTCAACTGGCCTTCAGCCACACTTCGGTTTCCCACGATCTCCAGTCAACCTGAATGGCAAGTTAATGTAAGTCCTCCGTCCCTTTACGAAGTTGAAAAAGCCATAGGAAATCTGAAGCGAGGGAGAGCAGCAGGCCCTGACAGGTTTACTCCTGAGATTTTTAAGGATGGTGGTCCAGTATTAGCAATGAGATTAACCGAGGTCTTAGGTAGAATTTGGGAACTGGACGTAATCCCATCTGACTGGTCTCAATCACTGATTGTGTCAGTCTATAAGAAAGGACAAAAGTCCTCTTGTGACAATCACAGAGGAATCAGTTTGACTAATATAGTGTCTAAAATATTAGCCTCAATAATACTTCGACGCCTAACTAAAGCTCGTGAAGAGCAGACTAGAGAAAACCAGGCTGGTTTTCGACCTGGACGTGGTTGTATAGATCAGATATTCACACTACGTCAGGTTCTAGAACACAGACACACATTCAGACGCCCCACAATGGTAGTATTTCTCGACCTTAAGGTGGCATTCGACTCTATTGATCGTGAGGTTCTATGGCAGTGTTTGTCACTGAAAGGAGTACCAAAGAAGTACATTAACCTTATACAGGCTCTCTACTCGAACACAACTGGTAGAGTGAGAGCTTATGGTGAACTGTCATCAGAATTGACTACCTCAGGTGGTGTTCGTCAGGGCTGTCCACTCTCTCCATTTTTGTTCAACTTTTTCGTTGACGTACTTTTAGTAATAACACTTACCTCGTCTAAATTTCCAGGGGTTGAACTTCTACCGGGAGGTTCACTTGTTGACTTAGAATATGCTGATGACATAGTTTTATTTGGTGAAGACGCTGACAAAATGCAGAGTCTTCTGACCACTCTAAGCAACAATGCAAGCATGTTCTAGATGCGATTCTCTCCCTCGAAATGCAAAATGTTGCTTCAGGATTGGGTTGCATCGACACCCCAACTAATGATAGGGAGTGAAGTAATTGAGCGTGTCGATCGCTTCACTTATCTTGGAAGTCTCATCAGCCCTTGTGGTCTGGTGTGTGTGACGAAATCTCAGCACGGATACAGAAGGCTCGACTAGCTTTTACCAACTCGCGTCATTTATGGCGTAGGCGAAATATCCGTGACATGGCTCAAAATTGTTTGCAATGGCGCAGGTGCATACACTCTTTGTGTTCTCCCAAACTTTGATCTCTTTATTCCTTCTTGTCTTTTTTTCTCTTCCCAAATTTATTTCACTGTATTATACTCTTCAAATAACATCTCCAAACATTAATCTTCCCGATTACTGCTTATACTCTTATTACCTCTTCCACTACGGGATTTGAATCGACCATTGCATCTCTGTGCTAATGTAGTGTGGCAACTCGAACTGATGTACGTACGTACGAAGTTCTACTTTGTTACCGACTGACTGACTGACTGACTCCCATTATAATTATTACTATTATTATTACCAATACTATTTCGCTCTTATAAACTAATTTCTTTTCGTTGTTGTTCTCCTTTTGTTATACGCACTTTACATTCTCTATTTAGTCACAACTTTATTTTTATTGTGTGGCGCGTATGTATTTGATGGTCCCTTGTATCGATGTTTACGTATTCAAATAAATAAATAAATAAGGTCCAGTATAGCATGTAAAACAAACAACTAACTATGACCGAGGTTATGTATTGTCAATGATAGATCTCATAAATGCCTATAAAGAGGAATAAGTCACAAACCTCGACTACATGTCAGCCTGAGGTGTGTTAAGTTAAAATGTTTCACTTATTGATGGTTCGATAGGAATATCAGCAATCAGCTAACAAGAAATTATTGCTGATGTTGAAAGCTTTCTTCAACTGTCTTAATAAATTATCTACTCTGGAATACAAAAGTTGAGACATATCAAGAGCGATTTGTTTATTTTTAATGTTTTTGCGAAAGAAGAATAAGCGGTGAGACTCTAATTTAGCGACGAGACAATCAGAAGCGTTTGAGCAATTTCAAGGTCACGGAGCCAAGTTCAACACGCGATGCTAACATACGGTCGGTTCACAGCGGATTTTAGAGAGGAGGTGATTAATGAGAGGTTAAAACAGATGGGACGGCGAAACTCTAATTTAGGGACGAGCCAGTGAGAAGCGTTTGAGCAATTTCAATTATTAGCCAATCAGAAGACAGTATAAAGTAAAAATATATTACAAGAAAGTAATGAATTACAGTGGATATTCTTCTTTTACATGAGTTAAAAACTTGTTGAGGTTCGATAAAGGCTCAGAAGTTTTGAATTCATAATGCATATTGTATAGAAACTCGTCCATAGGGTTAGGGTTTGGGGTTAAGGGTAGGGTTAGATTAGGGTTTAGGGCTAAGGTTAGGGTTAGATTAGGGTTTAGGGCTAAGGTTAGGGTTAAGGGTTAGATTAGGGTTAAGGTTAGGGTTAGGTTAGGGTTAGGTTAGGGTTTAGGGCTAAGGTTAGGGTTCAGGTTTAGATTAGGGTTTAGGTTAAGGTTAGGGTTAGGTTAAGGTTAGGGTTTAGGTTTATGGTTAGGGTTAGATTAGGGTTTAGGGCTAAGGTTAGGGTTAAGGGTTAGGTTAAGGTTAGATTAGGGTTTAGGGTTAGGTTAAGGTTTGGGTTAGGGTTAGACTAGGGTTAGGTTAAGGTTAGGGCGCTAACATGCAATCGGTTTACATCGGATTTTAGAGAAGAGATGTCTATTGACAGGCTACAACTCTAACCACTAACCCTATGGACGAGTTTCTATACAATATGCATTATGAATTGAGAGCCTCTGAACCTTCATCAAACCTTAACACGTTTTTAAATCATGTAAAAGGAAAATATCCACTGTATATCATTAATTACTTACAATATATTCTCACTTTATACTAACTGTCGTCTGATTGGTTAATAATTGTCAAGGTCATTTAAGATTCGTTCAAAGGTCGTCGCCAAATTAGAGTCTCGCCGAATAAGCTTAGTTTAACCAACTTCACGTAGCACAAAAGCTTAGAGATCCTAGGTATCAAGTCAGGTGTAGTCCTTTGGACATTTTCCGACAGCGTAAACTTCAGATAAGATTTAGGTGCTTTCATTCAATATTCAGGTTCCGGTGAAATGTAGACTGTAAATAACATCGTCTTTTGACATTTAAGTGGCTAAAAGATCTAAATATTGATCAACCAGTCCCATAATACCTAATAGCTACTCCGTGGTAATTTGCAGTGATCTTCAGACCTAACTGATAACCACCGAATATCACTGCCTTTGAAAGAGTAACTCATCGTTATCCACCGAGTATCTATCTGTGCCTTGATGGTTAATATGCAACAAAATTTACTTAAAGGCTTTTACATGAGGTTATAAAGTGCCGGAACATTCTGCTAGTTCTTAAAGACCTTTCTGAAACCAGTACTCCTTGCACTTCGCATTTATCTGCATATCTTTATATTGTGAGAATATAACCGATGATCGCAGGAAACTAGGCAGATTATCTGCATATAATGTAATGATGGTCCTAATATTGTCCTGAAAAACCCTCAAAAAACCCTACAGTCAGATAGCTGGGAACTAATTCTTGATTATCTGTTTACGTCTAGCTGAAAGACCATTTACCCAAAGAAGTAGATTCATATATGATATGTTCAAAAATATTAATCTAATGGATGGTTGGAAAAGGAATTTCGGTAAGACTATAATTTACGGACGACCTTTGGGCGACGCTAAAGAGATTCTGAGAATTTTTACCTACATACTACGGCTAAATGAGGGTTATAAAACAGATTGAGGAGTTAGGATTAATGTTTACAGTTGATGGTTAGGTTTAGGAATCAGATATAGAGTTTCCATCACGAACTGACATCAGCTATAATGCCAAAACTCTATTTAGCCAAATGGATGAGTGAATTTTGCGCCAAAATTAAAGATCTGTTATCGTTAATCTGATTGGCTCGTCCATAAATTATAGTCTCGCCGGAATTTCTCGTCATCATTCTTGACGACCTAAACAATATACAACAATATTTCCACAGAAGTATGAGATTGAATCAACCAGACATAAGCCCAGAACTAGCTCTTGCGTTATTGCTGGCGTCAGTTCGTGAGAACCCCGATAATTCATATACATAACTTCGTGTTGTAACTGTCGATTTATCATAATAGTAATATTTTCCGGAAATCGTTCCGTAACTAAATACTAGTAAATCGTCCCAATATCCCGATTTTAGTGTAAGTTTTATCGGATTAAGAGAAGTTTCTGGTAAGCTGAATTGGAAAATTTCGGAGAAATGCGACAAAAACATAATAATTTCATCCAGCCTAGAGGTTTTGCCCAAAATTTCTAGTTATTTTGAATAAGTCCCCACACCTTTAGTGAAAATTTTGAGTTTTCCCCAAGACTTCTCCAGACTTTGATGAAAGCTTCGATTTTGTGTATGACTTTGAAAAAGAACATCCTAAACACCTCAGCCATTGGCTGAGATCTGATTTGAGGCCATCCATATACTTTACTTTAAACTACATTTCGACTATTCAATATCAAGGATACTTAAATGCTGCATAAACCTAGATACTGCTTCACCGATCCTCACACACTCGTACTAATACACTTACTTAAGCAAGAACGACGTTACGCAAGGACCGAAAAGCGCGGTATATACTGAAATGCAAATTACTATGTAAAAGTAAAAACATATTGACCAATCTCTGGAACCAAAAAAATAAAAATAAGATCTCTCTTTTAATCGCCACAATAATTCTACTTTTATTAGAAGCTGTAAAATCTTCAAAATGTATTAATCTACTTCTAAATATCCTTCAGACTGCAACCTCAAGCTTCGCTAGGCATATCAGTGGATCACCAATAACTCCAGACAGGAACATAGGTATATTATCGACAAAAGAGGAAAAAGAAAAAATGGTTAATCATAGTAAGACACTGTAACGGTAAATAAATCCCCAAAATAAATAGCTCTGTAAGTTTTCGACATTGGATGCTGACCACATGTTTTAATGGACTCATCTAGCTGAAGGGGCTCGGTCATGCATCCGCACCAGATCACGTGTGGGAGCGCCGTGCTCAACATCTACTGCAATCGCGAGTCAGACTAGATCAGACAACTCCGATATATTGGCAATCGTCAAATACAACTTCTGATCTCCTCGATTCTGTCTTTTGATTTCTCTTGGTGGGTACGAGTTATATTAGGTGTTACTGGTAAAAATGTTGTCAAAAACTGGATACCTGTGCCATCTTCGTTGGTGAGCCCGACGTGATCTGGTACACCAAATCGTAAACTGTGAGTTTGTTCGATTTTGGGATTCTATATATTATTGCTTTATCTTAATTTTTATGTATTGTGATATTTTTTCGTGCTTTTTGGATATATATTTTTTTCCCTCGTTCATTATCGTACTCCATATTTCATCATGACTGAACAGACACCTAAAGTATTTAAACTTAAGAACATGTCCCAACCCTCGTTCCAACTCATACCCTTTTGGCCCGACAGTATCGAAGCCTGGTCCTGCTACGCAGAAGCCGACTCCCACGAGCACGGCGTGAACGACACACGTGCACAATTCCTCGCAACAGTCAAGGCACTACCGCGGGAATTCAACAGGTACGTAACACCCAGTATGTTTACTAGTGATGTTTCTGAACCTAAAGAAACACTGAAACGTTCTATTCTTAAACGAGGAGACCTAACCGATCGACAAAGGTTAGACCAACTCCTTGGGTACGAGTTATACTGGGTGTTACTGGTAAAAGCGTTTTCAAACACTGAATACCTGTGCCATCTTCAACACTATCCTCGGTCCTCATGAATATGTCAAGTTATGTCTTGAATGACCCCTGGGAAGTAGCTTGGACTGACCCCGTTGGTAGCGAATTCTAGCATTTGACTACTCTTTAGGAGTAGGACATGTGTCTACAGTCCGTTTTTCTATGTTGTGTCTCCAGTTTCTGAGTGTTACTCCTCAGATTTGTGCTGAAGCTAAGCTTAAGTAGATGTTCAGGGAGATGTCCAGAATCGTTAAGGATGCTGTAAGCCTTTGGAAGGTCAGCTCGAATACCCCTGTACTCTGATGCATAAAGGTTCACTAATTGGTTGTGCTCGTCATAAAACTTGAAGTTGAGTCCAAGAACTGATTTCGTGGCTCTCCATTGGATACGCTCCAGAGTGTCCTTATGCTTTTGTAGCGAAGAAGGAAAAACTATGTTTCCGTACTCGAACTGGTGACTAATGCAACAGTTGAAGATTATCTGGAAAGTTATTCCGTCGAACTGGCCAAAAATGCACTTCAATGTTACCGGTGCAGGGTTTGCTCGAAAGGCATTTTGGTCTTAGTTAGCGTTAGACTTCTAGTCATAGGTCACCAACATTCCTAGATCTCTTTCAGCCCAAAATACTTCTACAGGGGAGTTGCCTGAGTTGTAGTTGTAGTCTGCAAAATGTCTCAGATGAAATGCTGTACACTTTGAAGTGTTAAAGCTAAGTTCATTGTCGTCTGCCCAACTTTGAAGTCCATTCGGATCCTCCTGAATTCCTTGTTCCTTCTCATGGTTACGTACTTCTGTCTAGAGTTTCACATCATCAGCAAAGAGTAATAAATCTGACGACACATGTTGTGAAAGATCGTTTATATAAGTCAATGAAAGGTGTATAGTATTAAACCCTGAGACACGCCACGAACATATTGGATGGCCCTGGAGAAAGTAAACACTTCAAAAAGTAGGTTTTCTAGATACGGAATGAGTCAATTAATTAAAGGTGACTTGATGCCTAATCGTGTGAGCTTTTTGATAAGACACATATGGTTGGCCTTATCGAGAGTTCTTGAGAAGTCAAAGTAAAAGATATCAACCTTCTCCTTGCGATCGAGGATGGTTGTCCATCTGTCCAATGCACTCAACAGGTTGGTTATACATGAGTGGCCTCTTCTGAAACCGTGCTGTTGGTATGTAAAGGAGTTTTTGGATCATAAATACTAGTGTATACCGTAGCATATTAGAGACTCTATAATTTTGAGGCTGTAGAAAGAAGAGCCACCGGTTGGTAGCTTGAAGCTTCGCTACGTCGACCTCTGTTGAAAATTGGTGTGATGTGAGCCAGCTTCCAAATTTCCGAAAATGTGCCTCAGCTTAGCAGATGTAAGAACAGCGCGCTAATTGGTGTTGCCAAGACTGAAGCTTCTTCCCTCAGTATAGGAGAATGAACCATATCCGGACCGGAAAAGTCTTTTTTTAGGTAATCTACTTCCAGGTACACCAAATTAGAGCTCAGGTTCATTTCTGAAATTCCATTAGAGTTGCAGGTGAAGCTTTCAACAATATGTTAAGTGTGGGTCGGTTAACATTTTTGAGAGAACTACTCAACAAGAAGGTTGGCGGCGTCACTGTCATTGTTGTTCGGACTATTAGGACCTATCATCTGGGAAATCTAAGTTTTGTTTTGTCGAGGAGAGACTGAATACCAGAATAAGCTTTTCTGATTGGTGATAAGTTTATCGATAAGCTTTGTCTGGTGCTAAAGCCTATTATTTATTTGCATTACCTCTCTGCGCCGTTGTTACAAGTTCGTTTGTATTCTGTGCGACAGTACCTTTTGCAGCTTTGCAAACGTAGAGTGCGGTTCATGATGACTGTACGTTGCTTGTAGTTTTTGCGGATCATTTGGAAAACAGACTGAGAATATATCCATGTTTCATACATACCTATCAGCATTATTAGCATTACTGAGTTCTCGCAGTTAATCCATTTTATTTGGTAAGCCCGTGACGTTCACATATAAGCGGTTCATGCTTTCAATTTGAAACCCGTGAGCTTCTCCGTCCTGTTTTTCTGTAAAAGCCTTGTGTGAATAGACAAATAATCTACCTACTCAGAGTTTTCCTAGCTGGTGGCCTCTGTGCTTTCTACGTTTTTTTATAATCTTGACAGTTCACAAGTGAAACAGTCAGTTTCAACTTTCCTTAAGAATGTTCCTGGTGAGATTGCTCTCAGAATACGTTCAGGTCGAAGACCTTGTTGTTTAGTGGTTGAATCGCGTTTTAGGTTCTTGTAGTCTTCGCTGTCCGGTTGAGCATTTTTGGGGGTAGACTGTACGACCAAATCACCAGTTGAATTCATTACAATATCTGCGATGTTCGTCTTCTTAGAAGGTGACACGCGGTCGTTTTTAACTTTGTTAACGGGAGTCCAATCGCCCAAGGAACTTTCGATGACCACCGCTGCATTTAGGGACTCTGAGCTGAGAGACCCAAATCTGCTGAGGGGGCTCAGTACCGTCGATGTCATGATAATGCTAAGCTCCGGAACATCCTCACTAGTGTCATTACATACCATGTGGATAGCAGCGCTGTCGAGGTCTCTTCTTTAGTCTACACTGGGCTTCTTTGTTTGTTTACCTGTTTTGGGACAGTCTTTTTTAAAGTTTGCTGACATTTTTCGCAGACCTGTCAAGAGACGATGATGTTCCTCAGAAAAAACTTAGCATCCATGTTGCAACGGCAACATACCCTCATACGATTCTATTTGCTGAGTCTGTTGTAACCGGTTACTGTAAGATCTGTGCTTTCTTCGTAGAACCAGCCCTCGCCAGTGTAACATTGCATGCTAGAGGTAACAGCAGAAGGGCATCTGCGGTGCTTGCACGAATTCTTCGTGACTATTTTGATGTAGATTGTTTGTTAGATCCCAGCAAAAATCTGCGACCGTAAAACAAAAAACCAGCACAGTAAAACCGGATAAAATGAATAAACTGGGTGGTACAAAAGGTTAAAATAAACTAAAACTAGTCTTGACGTGAAAAACGGAAAAGCATAATAGTGAGCTGAGGAAAAACCACAGTCAACTATTGAGTTGTATGGACCTCAAAAGCAAAGTAAATTACCAAAAGTAAATCTCAGGACAGATTCTTTGGATGAAAAGTGTCAGTTTTGTTACCAAAGTACGCAGCAAAATTTTGAGAAATGCATATTACGTTAAAACTAAACTTCCCATCCGTAAACGAGCGAAACTTACTTAGGTTGATGCTTCACAGAAATTGGGGGATAAATGTGTGTACATTAGGACATGAATCAAGTTTGTGAAACTTAATCTTTCAGTGTAGAAGTTGGCGAGCTTTGTGAAAGCTGCATTGATTACTCCACGAATTTACTTGTCTGGCATCAGGGCTCTTACCTAGAGCTAATATTTGAAACCGCGAGAACGAAAACTTGCGATAATGTCATTTCCAAGTGTGTACTGATATGGAGTAGCTTTGCTTTGTGAATATGCATAGCAGATGGATTAGATACGCTTGTTTAATTTCTTGATGAAGCCATGGTATGTGCTGGATTAATAGTACATGCAAACACATCTACTTCGTACTCAGATATCTCAGGCTCCTTACAAGTCTCAATCAAACCAAATTCCGTGTCTTTAACGCTTGAATTTGTATTAGTTCCCTCTGAGAAGGTGCATAACTCACTTTAACTTGGAGTAGAAGGGATACTTGCCGGATCCATTGACGCTGCTTGATTATAGCCGGACACAAGAAACTGATATTGTCCTGAAATATAATAAGTGTTCCAATGACTCGTCGGGTGGACCTCATACTATGTTGCTCAAGTTCGTGTTTATGTACTTGTTTTCCCGGAAAACCAACAGCCGGTC